ACGCCAAGCAATACTGCCACGTTCATAGATAAAGACTCCCGTTTACGGCAACTAAGCCTTCCGTAACCATGGTTTTCCCGATTACCCCTGCGGAAGGGGGACATTTTTGACGGTTTATTAGTCTCTCGTACGCCTGTAATGCCATCGGCTGCCGCCGCTTCTTAAGTTTACTTTTCCTCTTTTTAATGCTTTTCGTCAGGGCATGGTTGTGTTGGCGGCCACACAAATCTGGTTTACCTGGGAGACGGAGGACGTTTTCAAACGGATGAAAATGGGCCAGCGAAGGGCCCTGAAGGACTTCAGTAAGAAGCTGATTGACCAAATCAACCAGATTGTGCAAATGGTGCGTGGGAAGGTGACGGCCAACGTGATGAAGAAGTTGGAGACGGTACTCATCCTCGATGTTCACGCCAAAGACATCATAGAACATTTCATCCGAGACAGGTACCCTTCTAAGATAGCTTCCACTTTCTTGTGTTTTGCGCTGAAAGGAAGTTTGTTAGCATGTTAGCAACAATGTAAGAGCTGGTTTGTTAATAACTGTGAGACGAGCTCTGGCTTCTGTGGTTTCTCATGATGCTGATGCTGGTGATAATGATGATGCCGCATGTACGTGAGTTGCTGAGCGAAAATAAGTCAACAAGTGGGAGGCTTGGATCGAGCGCGTAATCAAATCCTATGAAAAAGTCATAGTGAAGAGAATGCTCTAAAAATTTACAAAGTCATTGAAGTTAAATTTGCATTTACGTGTGCAGGATATTTTGGCGAAGTGCTAGTATGTAAGCGGAAGTAGCCTTCGTAATACAAACAACAAATAACGTGTGATACCGTTTTAAGAGGCCGCGATGCTTATACTCTTTCGCTACCCTAGAAAGCACATCCGAAAGCTACGTAGCTACTCTGTACAACCTATACACACATGTATTATGCTATTGTTACAAACATGTAAGGATTTAATTGCCCCTGGGCTCGTCGAATAACGCCGACTGCCAGAGCTGGAGAATTAAGCCATGCGTAATATGAGTCCGTGTTCTGTGATCGTCAGGGCAACGACTTGGGTTTTGCTGCCGGTAGGAAGAGAAATTGCAGGAAAAGCTCCCTTTTCTTGGATAACTTCCGCCTAGGATTTGCTATCTCTGCAGCTTTCATGATATGCTTGATTTGAAATAAAACGACTCGAAAGATCATAAAATTGAACTCTTATGCGTCCAACTTTATCTCAGAGGCATATATTTATAGGTAGGAGTGAAGCGTGGGCCGCTCAATGCAAAGGTCTCCCAGCCGAAGTTTGTGACGGAATGCATGCTTGATTAAAGAATAGGTAATACGTGTTTAGTGCTTGATAAGTGTACAGTAGGAAATAAAGTAAAGCCGCTTGTAATTGTTTTACTGAACTAAAATAATAGGTGAAAAGCATGCGAAAAAAGACCAAGAGAAACTCATATTGGTCAGAAAATGAAGCCTATAAACCAAGAAAACTATAAGAGCACTCCTATTGGTCAAACACGCAAGTCTGTGGAGCATTAACACTATTAAAACAACTCCTATCACTATAAGCGACCTTACTATTTATTTTTTTACCTATTTATGCCTAGTTCTAAAGCTAATATGTCACCCAGATGCCGAAAGAAACCCCGAGTAGATCAAAATGGCGAAAAGCACACCAATTAACTACACGTTATTAAAATTATTATTATTATTAGTAGTAGTAGCAGAGGCGTAGTACTAAGACGTAAACTCTCATCTGTACCATGCCGCATGTATACGAAACGACATAGTTGGCTTCTTGACTTTGTTAAAGGAAGTGCTTTCTCTCTCTCTCTCCCTCTCTCCCCCTCTCTCTCTCTCTGTCTCCAGTATCCTGAGCGCTGACGAATTCGAATGGGAGTCGCAGCTGCGTTTCTACTGGGTTCGCGCGCTGGACGATGTGAAGTTGCGTCAAGTCTCGGCGGAATTCGAGTACGGCTACGAGTATTTTGGCATGAACGGACGGCTGGTGATTACCCCTCTGACCGATAGAATCTACCTGACCCTCACGCAGGCTCTCTCGCTCTATCTGGGCGGGGCGCCCGCGGGTCCCGCAGGCACCGGGAAGACGGAGACGACAAAGGATTTGGCCAAAGCTATGGGTCTGCTCTGTGTGGTGACTAACTGCGGTGAGAGTATGGACTACAAGGTGAGCTATTTGAATGTTGGGCAAGAAATAGTGCGAACGCTTAGGGGCTCGTAATTACACAAGAGAAGTGGGATGACGATGATACTGATGATGATAACGGCATTTGTGAGGACACAACCTGATTGGTCCGATCTTATGAAGCTTCCTTGCTTAAATATCCGTACTAGGTACGTAATGTAGACTTCCTTTACTTGCGGCCTTGTCTCCTTGTTCTCCTTGGGGAATTGAAGCAAAGTGTTTGGGACGGCAAAAATCTTGGCTTTTAGCAACACTACAACAAAAAGTGCCACACCTCTATAGCCTGTTTGCGTTAGATACGGTCTTCTTATTGAATGCATCGATACAAGCAAAAATGCGAGTCACAGGAGATAATTGAGCAGAAGCAGATGTAGATAGAAGACGTTGCGATCACCGGAATCATACTTTTACTTGTCTGAACTTTCGGGCTCTTTCAAGAGTTCATCGTCAGAGGTACAAGGCGTAAACGAAAGTCAAGCAACAATTATAGGACGCAGGGGTCAATCAACCGTTACGGAGGTGAGGGGGGAGGGGGCAACAGTCAACCACCAGTGTCATCAGCCCGGAGATGCCTGCGCAGCACGATATATGCCGGCGCCAGATCGATAAATCGATTGACTGAGTTCTCATCCGAGGCTCAGGCTTCAATCAATTCGCGGCCTGTTTTGTTGCCGGCGTGCGCGATTACCCGCGCCGGTGCGAAATTAAACTCGTGACCAATCACTTGCGGCGATGCGTCTAGAAAGAGCCCGAAAGCTCAGACAAGTAAAAGTATGATTCCGGTTATCGCAACGCCTTCTACTTCTCTATCTA